AACTCAATACTGATCTTTACTCAACATAAATGAAAATTGCAACCTACATATATGTATGTACTTTCATTCAAGATAAATCTATAGTAAACATGGTCCAATATCTTTTCAGATATTTAAGATTTTAAAAAACAATTATGAACCTCTGTCTGGCACAGATGATAGAATCTTAGATATTTCATGCACAGCTATGGGAATGCCAACTCTAGGCTCTTACCTACTAGGATAATTGTGTACTAGTATCACATTATAATTATGTATTTTTCTAATACATGATTTCTTGGGTGTTAATTATTTTAAATTTGTTATCCAACTGGTGATTTAATAAATAATAGATCTACAGTTTTTGAACAAATGTGTTGGCAAACCCTAGACAAGGAAAATATGAATGTGAAGATTAAGAAAATATCACATATTAACCAGTTTTTAGTACATGTACAAATAACATGCAATGTTAGGGGATAATAAAGGTGTTCCTTTTAAAGGTGAACCTGGACTCTATCCCTACAGCTACTGGCATCACCTGACATACAGGAAATAATAAGATCATTTCTAAAAAAAAAAAAATTATACAGTAAATTTTCCCACATGCATTGACATTACAAACATGCGCACTCCCAATTTTGTTCTTATTAGTGAAAATGAAAAACAAGAAATATACAAATACACACCACAAGTATAATCAACCAAGCAACACTGATACAAATATCCAACCAAGCATTGCATTCTAAAAACCATATATAACCCTTCAAAGTTCACAAGAGCTACTGTAAGTGGTATTTTAGGGATTTGCAGAGTCCCTTACCACCCTATTGAAAGGTATATAGACCTTTTCACGATGTCACCATATACACGTATACCAGTAATTACACCCTGAAAATCAAGGTGTCACATGACACACATATACAACCTGCCAAAGCTTTACATATAAATGAACTTAGAAGCCACCTAAATTTTGCTTTTCTGATTTGGTTGACAATGGCCACTGTGACTTTCAGATGGTGGTACATGTTATATGGTCTATAACTTCCAAGAACTGCACAAGGTTATTAATTAAACCATGCATAATGTAAGGTCTTACATGTTCATCAGATTAAAACATTCCTGAAAAATAAATAGTCAGTGAGTATACTAGAATATAATGTTGCTCATCAAACTGTTCAGATTACACGTTGTGATTTGATAAATTTATTTAAATGTTATTCATCATTTTATTCTGTATTTGCTGAAATTAGGAGTAAGTCATTGAGATCAATTATAAATCAACATTTAACATCACTGAACTTCTTATTTGAAATTTGGCATCAAAATAAATTTTCATCTCTACAGGTGACACAATATGTTATTAAATCAAGGAAAAGTTTGTATCCAATTATTTCTAATTTTAACAAATGGCAACTTGATAGAATTATTACCTGTATGTAATCCGGCATTTGCCTGCCTATTTCCCTATAGAGGTCGCTAGCCGTGCTGCACTCGGGAAAGGCGTAAGTTTTCAGGCGTTCTTCCCACAGCTTCATCAAGTCATATGAGGCTGACTGAATCTGGAGTTTTGAAAAATAAAATAATTTTTAAAAAAATTACTTGTTACACTGCAAAGTTGAGATTTTTTAAAACTCAAAAGTCATATTTTCCCCCACTTAACATCTATCCAATAGACACAGAATCACCTTTTGGTAATAATTCTGAACAACTGTTCCTTGAACCATTTGCCAACAGAAGTCATTTCCATGAGAGTAAAAAGGCTTATTTCTCCACACATAAGTCTTGAAGTTCAATTGTAGCCAGTTAACTAGTAGTTGTCTTACTTTTCTCATTCTGATACCATGGATAACTTTGCCAGTCAGGCCAGACTCCCCATTATACTGTATGAGATCCTGCAAAGTTAGATCTTCTAGTACGCGGCCAAGAATAGCCAGGTCGGATACCTTTTTATCATTGCCCAGGATGTGGTTTTGGTACATTATGGCCAAATTCTGGAATAATGTAATGAAACGTAACAATGTAATGTAACATAACGTAATGTAAAGTAACACAACATATTAATTCACACACATACACATATGCACATATATGCACATGAATGCAGGCATGCTTGCGTGCACACAACAGGAACCGAACAAATTCAAAAGGTACAGTACCAATTAACTTGCAGCGAGTGAATGCAAAACCAAATATTGCAGAAAACTTCCTTTTTTAACAAATGTTCTAATACTGCTGTCAAGTTTATATCATATAAACAGGCATGTCCAGATTTGTATACACTTACATGCAGGCTTATCAAAGGTCTTCCACAAAATGAAGAAGTAAACTTCTGCAGGTGTGGTTGGAACCTGGGCTTTATCCCTGCAGCTACTGGCATCACCTGACACACAGCAAATAAATAATAACATTTCTAAAAAAACATCTAGATAACAAATTTTCCCTCATACATAGACATCACTATGCTTACAAACACGTGCACATAAACTTTTGCTTCCCCCTTCCAATTTCTAAAACAAAACATCCATATAAGCACTCGCACTTTGTGTTAAATTCATGAATGACCAGGCAAAGGCACATGCATGACCATACAATTTAATGTGGCACACACACACACACACACACACACACACACACACACACACACACACACACACAAAACAAAACAACTGCACACATCCATGCACAAACAAATGTATGCACACCCATGCACATGTGCATGTGTGCACGCACATACTCACCTGAAGCCCCAGGTCTATAGCACGCAGGAAAGTGCTCATACTGAGTGGAGTGAGGGCCCCTGGCATCATCTCTCTGGATTAATTATATAATAATAATATTATATTTACAAAATATTATTTTTCATTGGCATGTGCTTGTACATAGTTTGGGGATAAATTTGGAGCAAGGGTGACATAGGGGTAGATATATAAACTGACCAGCTAGTAGTAGTAAAAAGGAGATCCATCACAGAAAGGATCACACAGACACCCCTTACTAGTAACAGTCCTTACTTTCTCAATAAGGTCTTGAACTCAAGTTCAATTCTGCACAAACAAGTATGTTTTCTATTAGCACTGATATCAATCATGTGTTACTTTTTTCTGTTCACATAAATATTAAGACAATTATTATATTTCACTTCAATTAGTCATAAAATATTCATTTTACCACACATTACTCAAATTAATTAAAAATGGTTAGTATGATTCTCCTTGCAGTTTCATCAAATTTTAATTTCAATGAAAAATAATTCTTGTATCTTTACCCAATATTACAGGTGGTCCACCACTCTTGGTCATAGGACAAAGGGGCATCAAACTCGTGCATTAGCTCCTCTTCTGTCTCCAAGCCAAAGGACGTTATAGGACGAGCCTGACAAATGTGTGGAGGAATTAATGACTGTGTTCCCATAAACACATCCTACTATAGCTTGATGGATCTAACCCTGCGGGGCTTCTTGCCAAAGTGCTTTTAGTGTAATCAGCTTAATTGTCTGGCAGACCCCCCTGAGTAAGTCAGGGGTAATTGCCTATTGTTAATTACCCCCTATTAGCTTGCATGGTGTGCCGGACATTTAAGTTGCTTTCACTGAATGCAATTTAGCGAGAATCCCTGCAGGGTTAGATCAGTCCAGCTGGTACTTTGGGTTTATGAGAACTCTCCCTATAGTACATTACCCTGTTGAAAAGCATCTGACTAACATATTCATCAATGCTTTTACCAATTACATTTATACATAATTAATTTTGATGAACTACAGTACTACAGTCTGACAAATGTGATATTAGGGAAAGTTCTCAAAATTTTCATTGCCTTTTGTATATAGTCAGCCTTGCTGAAAGACTTTAAACCTGAAACAAATGTAAAGTTATAATCTCTAACATTTGTAAGTGTATTCTCAGGAAATAATCAAGCCTTGGTGTAAGTGAATTTTCTGGGTCACGGATTACCCCCCCAAAAAAAATCGTCAATATTTGTAGCTGCTGTCTAATTTACACACTTTTTTTGTCAGGACTTGGAATTTCAGGATAGGATATTGTGGCATTATGAAAATTATTCCCGTACCTGTAACAAATAAACCTGCCCATTGCAAACAGCCCATTCTATGTCTCTGGGATCTCCAAAATATTTCTCAATCTGAAAAATAAATTTGTTCTTATTATATCCCCCACAAAATTCAACAGGGCTATGATATTGCATTGTATTTTTTATCATTATCATAATTCAAAAGTTCCTACTGGAGAATGGATAACAAACACTTTAAAAATTCAAACTTACTAAACACACACACATGTATATATATATACATGCATGTTTGATTCACTAAAATTAAAATGTAGAGCAGTTTTCCAAGAATTGCAATTATGCTCTTTCCTGGCCAAGCTGTTATTGTGTTTGGAACAGACACTTTTTCTTCATGTTCTTCATAATATCTTTGAAGCCCATATCTTCAAGGACATGTGCCCCTACATATAAGCAGGTAAGACAGATGTGAAGACTGAAAATCCTGAAAACGTGAGTTGCATTTTGATTTAACGTTTGATTGAATTGTTATTAGTAGAGCTGCACATCTGATGTTAATTCTGTTTATTATGATGAGCCGATGAGTGCTGTCATTTATTCCATTTGTTGAGTGTTTCAAATTGTGGTAGCAATTTAATCGGAAGGCATCAAATCTGATCACATTTAGACCATATGAAAAAAATGTTCAAAATGAAGACTAAAAATCCTGACATCAGGCATGACCCTGAAAACTTTCACATATGCAAAAGCCAGCTGGGTTACTTACCATGATGCCTATCCTTGCCAGCTCTAAGATGACATCATCAGGAAGACAACATTGCTTTGCTGCTGCCAGCTCCACTTCTGTAGTCTGAGTCCCACCTGAGCCTAGTGTACAAATTATGTTGAAAACTTATAAACAGAAAAACGTAGCTTTTAATTAAAATTATCAAAATGGAAGATTCTTTTAATCTTCAAAGTAACAGTTACCATTTGAAGAGTCAGCTAGCAGGATGACCACTGCATAGTTTCGTTATTGTATTATTCTTATTAAAATGTATAAAATGTGAAATTAACCACCTATTACAGTTACCTTGATAAAGAAACATACCGTAAATGCCACCACATGGAGAGAGACAGATTTTTCCTGCCTATCTTTATGAATATTTTACGAAATTAAACAGTTTTAAGAATGAAAAACTAAGGGTGAGATTGTTTTCAATTTTCATCAGATGGAAATTGTTTTATCTACCTGCAACTGACATAACAGACTTCTTGCTGCCTATCGTCTTGTCTTTAATGCTCAATTTATCATCCCAACTTCTGCTGACAGTAATAGTATCAGGCTCTGCGATCCCTGACACCACAGACTGATACGAAAAAAAAAATCATTGCAGTAGTATCAGAAATCCAGATGATGTACATTTGAACACCCAAATTACACAAACATTTTAAATACTTTGTAATTATAAACCTTTAGGTAATGTCCTTTATATGCTACACTGCGCATCAATGTCATGCATATTTTTGTTGCACATGTATGTAAAAAATTTAAGAAAATTCTATCAAACAGAAATATTATAAAGACATTTCCTAAGAGAGCATTCACAACAAAGTTGATCCGTAGACTAACTACATGTAGTCTGCATATGAAATATGGCATGCACTGCAGGGGCGGATTTAGGCCGTCTTCTGGGTCTTCCGGAAGACGGTCAGATTTGTCAAGTTTACATTGACGGGTATCTAATTTTTTCTGTCGGAAGACGGTCAAAGATGGAGGATGGATCAACAAAGATAAATTGGAAGACTGTCAGAAAATAACTCTGGATCCACCCCTGCACTGGACAAGCGCAATGGATTCCCACCTCCCATGTGCACTGTCCCAGCAATGGCAGAGCATTAAAGCTCATTACGCTTTTAGGTTCGCAGCGCCATATTTGATTTGGATCTGTTAGTCCGGGGCTCAACTTGTTCTGAATGCTCCCTAAGACTGTCAGGACACCATACCCACCTCACCCAGACCATAGTTTGCATTGATGGTAAGCACACCAGGATTGGCTGTCAGTGGATCCTGGGTGAACAACACCCCAGAGGCCTCTGATTGGACCATCTCCTGGATAACCACACCCATGAGGGATTTGATTGGCTGGCCATGCTGTCTATGTGAGATCAAAATATGATTGGCAAATTTTACATCAAACTAAGGGTGCCAGTATTTAAGTCAGATTTGGGAAATTTTGAGCACATTGTTCACTATATGCAAAGCAAATATTTTAAATAAAGACATTAATTCATCAAATGAAGCTCTCAGCTAAGAGTGTAAATTACACTGATCACAATGAGAAATATATAAATTAAAAAAATATTTCAGTTAAGAACATTCAAAATCCAAAGTACAGGAGTGTTTCAACTGAGCAGGCCTTAACTGCATTGTCACTTAAAGTTCTAAACTACCTTCTGTATTCCACTGCTTGGTAGGTACACTGAGAAGCCCAACACTTCATCACTGCTTCAAATACCTGAAATTTCACATTTGAATAGAGTTGCATCAAATATACTTATTTTATCTCACAGGGTCATTTTCATCAAGTTCAAATTCATTTTTCTAAATACCATTGTAAAATCAAAAGACAATATCTTTTATATAAAAAACATACCATAAAAATTGTTTTCAACAAAAACATAGGAAGATTTTTTTTAATTAAACAAAATAACATTAATAAAGCGGGTAAATTTTTACAATGAAGGTTCCCCTACCACGAGTACATAGCCAGACCATACCTTGTGAATTCCTTTTATTCCTAGAAATGTTTCCATTTGTCCAGCAGCAGACATCTCGTCACTGTCTTCACCTAGAGCAGATACAGTGCATATAAATATCTTATTCTGTGACAGATCTTAATTTGTTGGCCAGGTAGAGGTGTAGAAATTCACTATCAGATTTTAATATATAATGCACACAAGTGTGTGTGTGTGTGTGTGTGTGTGTGTGTGTGTGTGTGTGTGTGTGTGTGTGTGTGTGTGTGTGTGTGTGTGTGTGTGTGTGTGTGTGTGCATGCTCACACACGCATGTGTACATATATACAGGGAGGAGAACTAACATTTTTTTTTTATTTATGTGTACTTAACAAAGAATATTGACTTTATCTACAGACAGACTCTTTGAACCTGTGACATACCTACAGCAGATGATCTCACAGCAAACAGTATTTCTCCATGCTGAGTTCCAAACTCTTTGACCAAGGTCTCCACCAGGCTGCCCTGGACATCCATACATAGAGGAGCAGCAGTGAATGAATCCACCAGCCTCTTACAGCACTCCTGAATATTACCTTTGATTTTCCCACTAAATGAAAAGAAGCTATTATTTTAGATAGCATGTATTATATTGTACACAGCACTGAGATTTACAAGGAGCTGATAGTTTTTAAAGAGCTTTATATAATTATTATTATTATTATTATTATTATTATTATTATTATTATTATCAGGTTTCCACAACGTAAAAATTCATTTTCAGTTTAGAATCAGATGAAAACAATATAACAAGTAAAGATTTAAATTTAAAAAAACATCTAAGCATAAGGACTTTATGGGCAAAAACTACCTGCAAATGTCTTCCAACTCTGCCCACATATCCACAATAACTGTGCTTGACTCTAACTGTTTTTGTAGAGCTCTGACAGTCACACACAGCCCTCTGGGCACTATGAACTTAAGTAAAGGAAAGCATACTGTTGGCAGATAGTTTTCATGGCCAGTAAATACAGTGAAATATACTGGACCTGTAAAATACTGAATGATTAAATAAGTAGTAAGTACCTTTTAATATTGATTTACGTTATCTTTATAAAAATATTTTGGTACAGTTATTCAAAGTACAAGAATTTTTTAAATAGGAAAATTGGCCTTCAAAAATTCTGAAACTGCACTATTACTGAACTAATAGGCTATGCATATATCATTAGTTACTAAATANCTGAATGATTAAATAAGTAGTAAGTACCTTTAAATATTGATTTACGTTATCTTTATAAAAATATTTTGGTACAGTTATTCAAAGTACAAGAATTTTTTAAATAGGAAAATTGGCCTTCAAAAATTCTGAAACTGCACTATTACTGAACTAATAGGCTATGCATATATCATTAGTTACTAAATAACACCTGATTATAAAAAAATATGTACGTTGTCTAAAATGGGAAAATAAACGTGTATAAAGACAGTTCTTAAGGGACCTCTCGGTGACTGTCAAATTTTCTTGCCAGATAATCGTATTACCATGAAAAATACTAATTTCCAAATTGACTTCAAGCTTGGATAAATGTACACTTATACAGAAAAAATACAGCCTATAGGTATCATTGGTTGAATGCTACAAAGAGATGGCAGCAACTGGCCAAAACTGCACCTAAAAAATAGGCTACCTTACCTTATCCTTTATTGTACACAGCATGGCCAGCTGGCACCCCTTGCCTCCAACCAGCTCTGAACTCTTGCAAGCCTCTTTTGTGAAAGGCAGCACCAGGGCCCTGTTGTCAAACTCTGGCACAGAGATAGGTTCTATTAGTGTGGGAACATGTGACTGTCTTGTAGGTGGTGAGATATCCTTGCACCTGAGATTAAAGCAAAAAAAAAATTATGTTATATACAGAAGTGGGTTCTCTTGGTTTGATTGATTGACTGGAGGGGAGATATCTTTGCTCATGGAAATAAAGCAAAGAATAAAATTTTATATACAAAAGTGGGTTATCTTTGTGTGGCAACAGGTGCCGATCTTGAAGGTGGTAAGATATCTTTGCTTCTGGAATTAAAGCAAAGAATATAATGTTATTCGCAGAAGTGGGTTCTCTTTGTGTGATTGACATGAGGCGAGATATCCTTGTTCCTATAAATAAAGCAAAGAATAAAATTTTATAGACACAAGTGGGTTTTCTTAGTGTGGGGACAGGTAGTTATAGCTGTCTGAGAGGGGGACAAGATAGTTTTGTGCCCAGAATAATAATAAGAAATAGTTACGTCATATATACAAATCAGTTAAGCTCTTGAAATCAGATTTTTTTTAATTTAAATTTTTTCATTTTTTCCAAAATAATTACCACATATCAATTGGAATTTTAGCTCAATTAACAGACCACCTTGAGTTCATCACAAACCATCTTGTTCAACACAAACCTAATTCTAAACAACTTGTCAGAAAACCCAATGCTATAAAAAGTTCTATACATTAACCAGTATCATTTAATTCCTGAACTAACCTATAGCAATACTCTGCAATGCCCCAGCCTTTCTTTCCATTCACAGTGAACTCCACTAGTTTCTCAAAAATCACATTTCCCCAGTCCTCCCCTTGGTATAACATGACAGTCTTGGTGGCCTTGACTTCTATATTGTATGTCTGACCTCCTAGAATATTAAGATATAAATGGATATATTTTCACAAACATTATGTTGTGGCCCTGCCTTTAAATGATACATTTGAAATTTTAGGATATCAAAAGCTATTTTTAAGTCCACAATGTTTGGTATGTAACTGGCCTGCTAAAATATAAAAAACAAAACTGTTTTTTAAACAGGAACTGTTGTTGTTTAAGCTGAAAAAAAAGACACCAATCCTATTTTTCCTCACAAAAACAATAAATAATTTCAAAACAGAATCCATGCATATTTTTTGTTTACTTACCAGCTTTGAAATTCAATGTCCAGAAATCTGGTGGGTTCTGGTTTTCTCCTAGTAATGGCAGCCAAAGGTCGCTCTGTGTCACAGGGGCACAAAGTGCATTAGGGGTAAACTGGTAACCAAGTAATAAACTGGAAACAAGGGAAAAGCTGTCAAACGTACAGACAAAAGCAGAAAATAATGATGCACAAAATAGTTTATTTGGCCAATTTTGATGCAGTAATACTATTTTAAATTCAGACTTATGCAAAATTGGGTCAAAATCAATCAACGATATCTATCATTCACAATGAATGTCTCAGGGCTTCAAGTTCCTATCTTTTTTCAATTTTTTTTTTTTTTTGAGATGTTCCTTTTTTTTTCTATTTTTCAGAGAAAATGCTTATTTTTTCCTATTTTTGTGGTCTAGAAATGCATGCACTGGTTAACCAGAAAATAAAATATGTGGATACCTTAGTCAATATTGAATTGTTAATGAAGATTTGGAGAAATTTACCAAAAATATTGCCTAACTGAGCTTGGACACTACATGCCTTGCTAAAGTACAATGCAGGAAGTTGCAAAGATTACTAAAAATTTCGGTTGACTTAGATGTTTAGATGCCAACATGTATCGAACACATTGAAGTTTGTTTAAGTCAACAAACAAACTTAGATCAGGATTAGTCAGACTTATATAGTCAGGATTAGTCAGACTTAGATCTGCTACGTTTATGTACTCATATTCTTGAACAGTGGGATGCCACATGAAAGTTCATTTTTCCGGGGACCATGTTATCCTGCCTGACCATGAGTAGTGTATAAGTAACTTCTGCCTTTTCCTCCAAGACTATAAGGGCTAGTTAGGAAGTTGAAACTTTGGGGATTGATAGACATATCATTAGAAATGTGCATGGGTACTTCAGAATTGTAGTGCAACAGGAGGTTGGGCTGTCCTGGTGGGTGCTTGACTCTTCATACTTTTAACATAAATTGTAATTTCTGCTAATTCCTAGACCATTAGAGTTAGAAAGTTGACACTTTGGGGATTTATAGACCTATATCAACATGGGCACTTCAGAATTTTACTGTTCGAAAGGGTTGGGTTGTTCATGGGATGGTTATTTCTTAGTTCTTTTCACATCGCAACTTCTCCTGACTCCTACTAGACCACTAGAGTGAGGAAGTTCAAATTCTGGGACTTGATGGACCTAAGATCAATGATGTACATGGGCACCTCAGAATTTTAGTCCAACTGAGGGTTAGGCTGTCCCGGGGGTGGTTGATTGTTAATTCTTTCCACATTGTACTTTCATCTAACTCCTCCTAGATCAATAAAATGAGGTAGTTCAAACTTAAGGTACTGGCAGACATATATCAACACAGTTGTGCATTTCACAAAATTTAGCGCTCCTTGGGGTTGGACTGTTCTTGGGGGCTCTTTTTTTACATTAAGCATTTTTTCATTGATATTATTTTATGCATAAAATCTCCTGACCAGTTCCTGCTGTCTGGCAATACAGCTGTATATGCAGTGCATGTTTTTTCCTTTAAAGATAGATTTTTTTCCTTCGTAGATTATGTTGACTGATTATTTTTGAAGCCGACTTCACTTAAGCGAATAGAACAGACCACAAAAAATAATCCAGTGTGTTATTTCATGATCCAGTTGTGTTTGCTCTAAACTCAGGTTTAAAAAAAAAAGAAAGAGTTTAACAAAGCATGCATGTACCTGTATGACTTCTGGTTGCGTGTGAAAGAAAAAAAAAAAAAAAACAAAGTGCCTAGGTGCTTTTGTGTGCTTTTATATGGCATTGCTTAAGGGAATAGTGTGCCTTTCGATGCCAAAATGATTCAATTTTCAATTTGAGGGACTACTATATATCACACTATGTGAGGCTTTTGTTGTTTATCCCTGTGTTGTTTATCCATCCATATGATATTTACTTAGTGTTGATGAGGTGCTGTACGTGTTCTGCTGCTGAAACCAGTAGCTGTCTTCTGCTGAGTCAACTGTGCTTTCCCGCACGAAAATGCAGTAGTATCGAAGTAGCAAAGAAGCATTAACGCAGTAGTGGTGTGGAGCATATTTGCAGCAGAAATGCAGCATAGCCTACTGCAATTCTACTTCAAAAATTACATAGGGTTGTACAGAGGAGGAGCATTAATGCAGTAGATTAGCAGCATGATAGAAGCATGTTTCAAATATGCTAATTAGCTCCCACATCGAAGCAGATTTGAAGCATGTTTGCAGTATGATTGCAGTAGTCTACTGCGCTGGAGTATCTACTTCGTTTTCGTGCGGGTTGTGTCTGGACAACATTTATACTTTTTATGTACAGACACAAATATGTCTGTACATGTACGTCACGGTCACCAGCATGTCTCCGCTGTTGTTGTGACCGTTGCTGTGCATTTTCAATGTTAGAACACTATTTAGTGGAAAAGGATTTGACCTATTGTCTTCAAACTTAAAGAACCAGGGAATATATACATAAAATACAGGTCAAGTTTTAAAAAGTCAGCTTAACTGGACCACTTTTCCAAAAGTGATGCTGTTTTTTCAACTTTTTTCAGCATATTTTATCCACTAGCTGTTATTCAAATAAAACAAAATAATTTTACCTTTTGTCTTCTAACTTACAGAAATGATGAATTTTCATCAAATACAGATTGAGTTTGAAAATCAGGTTGATAGGACCATTTTTCCAAAAGTAATGCTTTTTTTAGCATATTTTATGCCCCGTTATACAAATGAAATGAAAACCATGTCATATTTTGCTTTGAAACTTGAATCTGACAAACTGCAGTGACACCCTACTACACAATACACGGTGAAGACAGCGATGGCGACAACAGACACAGGTGACGACAATATGTACAGACACAGATGTGTTTGTACATAAAATGGCCAAAAGTTTGAGCAAAGCACTCATAGTGCTAGTAATCAAAGAATAGTCTCAAACATGCATTAAATTATGCACTTACAGCGATAACTACTGTTTGTTTTGGCCAAAAAAAAAAAAACAANATTACTACTAAAACAGTGGCCCGATCATGCCGATTTTCGAACTTAACCTGCGTTTTAGTAAGATCGATTACTCCTGTGAGTTTCATGACAACAGGCCTATCGGTTTTCCTTGAAATGTGTTTACAGTGTTGCATATATACTGAAAAGTGAAAAAACAGCATAATTTCTACAATAATGGCCCGATCATGCTGATTTTCGAACTTGACCTGCGTTTTATGAATATTCATCAGCTCTGTAAATATAAAGCCAAAAAGTAAAACTGCCTTCCACTTATTGTGTTTACAAGGAAAGTGCACGGCACCGGCGACGGCAACGACGACGACAGACGCAGGTGATGGCAATATGTACAGACACATCTGTGTCTGTACATAAAAAGATTTTTCATGGGTAAACCAAGATTTCCCCACACTTACCAATGGTTAATGAATCCATTCCAACATTCAAAGTAGTGCATGTTTTTTTTTCTAAAAAGTGTGGTATTGTATGATAATCTATTAAAAACTTAAATAGGGGGTATGGCCATCTATGAAGTCCCATGTGGTCTGATGGCAAGCACAGATTCCACAATCATTGCTATAACTGCTGTTTTAGTGAAAAATTGGAATTTACTATATTTCTAAGAGTTGTTAACTATATTTTTTTTGTGAAGTATGAATCTCATATGAACAGTAGTTATCCCTTTAAACTGACAGTAGCTACTGTACCTGGATGTACTGTTGGGCAGACACCATTGGCTGACATTAAAGAAGTTCCCATCCTAAATGCAAAATAAAAAAGAAGTTAGTGCATTGAAAAGATCTTAAGATAAAAATTCAAGTCATCAAAGAATCAATTTTTGAGACATAACCTTTACATCATCAACTAAAATTTAGAGAGCTAATATCAATTCTTACAGGTAACACTTTATATTGACATAATGCATCAGCACTGACTAAATGAATCCTCATGTTATATTTTTTACATAATAATGTCTACATGCCTGTGGAAAACAATGATATTTTTATTGTAATCTAGACGGTGTTGTAAAACTACCACATATTTACCTTATTTCAGATTTCCTGGCTGATAACAGATTTGAATTTTACACACTAATATTAAGTTCTATTCTAACCAAATGGAATATTGTTCATACCAATTTTGAAATCATACTTCAAAATTCCTCAACTTGTTAGCAGATAATCTGATCATCCCCTTTTTCAAATCAGTGTAGCGCCAAGTACAAATAAAATGAAATTTAGTGCTAGCTGCCATCAGCTATACAAGCTTAGACTTCCTACCTCAATGTATCCATAATGGGACACATATCTGTGAATGGATTTCCAGTCTTTTGTTCCTGCATCAGAAAAATAAACAATAAATATCAACAAGTAAACTCTAATGATCTGCAAAGAAACTCATGTACTTGTAAATATAATTTCACTTAAAAGAAATTTTCAACAACAAATAGCCTAATGCAAATGAATTATCTCAACATAGTTGTTCTTTGACAAAGAATAAAATCTCTAGAATATGTCTGCATTGTTTACAAAGTATATTCCATTACATGCCTACTGGCAGATGATCTATATAACAAAATATTGTTTACCTAAGTGATATTAAGTTAATCTACAAGTTTCTTTAGAAAATCATTACTATTAAATGCTCCATTAATTACAATATATTTTATTAAACTGATTATCCAACACAAACATTTTTGTTTTCAAATCAAATTAAAGTATATGTATTTTTCCCTCCCCCCTCCCCAGCGTTCAACAACTTATCATACTTTAAAAACACAATGAAACAGCTTACCAGAAAAACGGCTTCTTAAACTTTTCAGTCTCAATTTCCTTGGTTCTTCTCCTTCCACCAGGACTGTTCCCCTCATTTCTCCTGCCTGGTCATAGAAGGTATTATTACTTAGTCTGGAATACAAGCACAATTTCAAAAAAAAAAAAAAATTTGAAAAAATGACCCAAATCTATTTCAATGATCATTACATTTTCCAACTCTGCCAAGTTTTAAGCTAACATATTTTCATTGTGATGTGTTTAGGATTCATGCACATTTAAATGGAGGCATGCTGCACAAGATTAACAAAAACAGTTAGTTTTTTAGACTTACTCAAGATAATAGTCTGACTCAGACATTTAACTAAGTTAAAACTGTCTACTTCCTGAATTGAATCTTAAACCATTTCAGTTTACCTAGTGCTGCCCCCCCCCCCCCCCCCCCCCCAGGCCCTCTACACATGTACATACTTCTTTAAGTTTTCCCATAATTTCCCTGACCACTTTTCTTTTGCTACAGCATCAGAGAGTGCAACATCTGGTATTTCATCAGGAAAGCTGAAGGTATCTGAGAGGGCATTCCACCTGAAAACAATCATTTACTTCTATAATATACCATGGTACAGAAATAATTGTCTTAAAAGACACTTGTTATTTAGGAAAAACTTGAAACTAACACCAAAACTATTTTTTATTCCTTGTACAATAATTTGGACTTTTCTTTGCTGTGTTTGTTTTTACCCAAAACAAATAAGTAACAAAGACAAGATAGAGGATGTGTCATGTTGGAATGGTATGTTTCTGAATAAGTTTTGTGAGCAATGTTATAAAAACTTACAAAAAAGAAAATTTAACATGAACAAACTCATCTGCACTTTTTGACTGCTCCTGACTTGGATTCTTCCTAAAATTGAAAATAAAAATTATTAATTATTTAATTTATCTATAATAAATAAATAAATAAATAAATAATAAAGACAAGAAGAAAAAGAAAAAGAATAAATTTATATGTTATCAAAATTTATAAAATAAAAACTACAATATTCCTATAAATGCTTATAACCCCAAGAACGTCTTTTGTTTACACAATGCTGAATCAGACAATAAATTTGATAAAACAAACAAAACATTTTTGGAAAATGGCATCACCTGAGCAAACCATTATAAGATATTTTCCATGTTCTGAGTGCCTCCACCATGTCCACTGACAGACCTCCAGCTTGAAAAGAGTTATGAGCAGCAGTAAAAACAACTGAGTCTGGGTGGACAGGATGCTGAAAAAATCCAACGCCTGGAATATAAATTATAAAACAAAAATGAGAAATATCATTTGCCTGAAAGTGGCATTTTAAGTATATGATGGACAACTCTTACAATATTTGCTGTCTTTCCTTGGAAATTAATTTCATTACGATCATTACCTTTCAAGCTAAGCAGCAGCCATAATTCTGCAACTCTTCCCTCTCTTCGTCCTATTCTAACAACAAGTGCATTCCCATCTTTGTCCATGCCTTCAAAGAAGACCTCATCAGTTGCCTGCAGGGTGAAATAAAAAGAATGAAAACTTCCCAATCCAATATGAAGAACAAAAATTTTCCAATTCAGTAAAAAGAACAAAGTCTTTGATAAGGAAAAGAGCAAGTATCAAATCAACTGAAATAAAACACAATTAAGATGTTTTCTGTATATATTTAAGTGTATATATTATATATTTTTTCAAATGTATCATTTATCATTTACTGACAATTGCTCTATATAATAATAATAATAATAATAATAATAATAATAATAATAATAATTTACATTATCACAGCTTTTCAACTCCTGTGCCCCATCCAATTTGAGTGGTGTACCCTCTATGTCTTTACCATAGCCAAGACCATATCTGTAGGCGTCATGTTGGAAGATTTTCCCAAAGGCCTGCTTTCTCTTCCGGCATCTCAACTTGTGTATGAGGAGAAAAAGGAATCGCTTCAAGTGAAACCATTTTCCTAAAACCACAGATCATGAAGACGATAAAAAAATAATAAATTCTGAATTATTGATGTTTCACTATTGAAAGTGCTGTTGTTAAGTTTCTGTCAGTTTATGAAAAGAAAATTGGCTGACTTTATCACATCTACATTTTGTAGCTGTCAGTCATTTTCAAATTTGATTTTTTACAATTCTCATATTAATTCAACTGCTTCAATACTTACTCCCCAGAATCATTATACATAGGATAAATTAATGCATTTAAATAGATAAAATTCAAGAAGTGAGCTAAATTAAGGAAGACATAGGATACCAAGTGTGGTCTGATGCTTATTTGCAATTAAACAAACCTTTCCACAGGGGCGGATCCAGACATATTTTCTGACAGTCTTCCCAATTGTCTTATTTTATTCATCCCTAATCTTTGACTGTCTTTCGACAGAAAAATTAGATGCCTGTCAATGTAAACTTGAAAAATTCTGACCGTCTTCCAGAAGACAAAGAAGATGGCCTCAATCTGCCCCTGTTTCCAGGAGTTGGTTAATCCCAAACTGACTGTGTGTAGAATATACTACTAGCTAGTAAGTGTAAATGTGAAGTCTCTCTCTCTCGCTGTCTGTAACTCTTACCTCTCTCAGTTTCTCTCTCACACCTTCTCTCCCTGTCTTTTTCTCAACGCCCCCTCTCTATCTGTCCCTCTCCACCCACCTGACACCCCCTTGATCCCTCCCACTATCCCTCTCCTTCCCTCTCTCACTACCTCAATCACTGTTTCAATGCCTCTTTCTAACCCCCTTTTTCAATTTACCCCCTCCTCTACATTTTCACCCACCTGTCACTCACCCCTTCGATCCCTACCACTGTCCCTCTCTTTCCCTCGGTCACTACCTCTTTCGCCCTGCTTCAATTTACCCCCTCCTGTTCATCTTAATTCACCCACCTGGACGAGCGTAAACCCCATGGCTGGGAGCTGGATCCTTGCGCAGTAATTTAAAAACCACGTACAGTAAAGGTAATAACGCAAAAATCTCTAAAAACATTGTACATCCAGTCAGACATGCAATAACATCACACCCCCGTGGAGGCAGATTTGGCACTTTGACCTTTTCCCTCATCAACTGTGAAAGATAAGATAAGTGGCCTAAATGAATAGGTGTGATTGCGCGTTGCTCAGTTGCGACAGAGGAGGCCGCTTTCAATGCTGTTCCACGTGCAAGAATTTAAAGGATGAGTGAATAGGCCTGTAATAGATATTTAATAATTATTATTATAAAGCCTGGCAAGTTGACAAACAAACATCTTAGTATCCCGAAATGGCTGATTATATAACAAATTGGGGTTGGGCTTAGTCTGCGACTACAGCGACGAGAATTTTAGAACCCTCGGGCAGTCGGTACCTACCCGAAATTACCGACACGATGAAAAGCTTTTAAAAAATTATAAAAAAGGTTTCATTAATGTAATAAGGTAAATCAAAATTATTAAAAAGGTGTTTTCAAGTAATTCTGATAGTTGATTGGCATTTGTGATTGAATTATGGATTGTTTTAACTTCATTTTTGAAAATTCATTCTAATAAATTGCTTACAAGGTCAGCTAACACAGGAGTAGTGAAAATGTTAAACAGTGAATGATTTGATTGACCAAAGCAAGTAAAGTTGAATAATACGCCGCAGTCATCTGATGGTTGGTGGAGTTCATTCAATTGGAGGGGTTTAGTAGAGAAAGTCTACTCAATCTGAGGGCGCCTCCATTTAAAAAAAAAGGGGTGTAAATGTTCTGTGGGGCAATTCCATTGCATTAAAAGGGGTGGCAGGTGGGGCGAGTCCATTGCATTAAAAGGGGTGGCAGGTGGGGCGAGTCCATTGCATTAAAAGGGGAGGCAGGTGGGACGAGTCCATTACATTGGAGGGGTGGCAGGTGGGAGAAGTCCATTGCAAAAAAGGGG